CCCACAAACATACATACACACACAACCCTACCCCTACAAACACACACACACACACACAAACATACACTCGCGCACCCACCTACCCAACACCACTACCATAATTATCGACCTACTATCACCACCACCACCAACGTCGCCGCCTGATAGATTTACTTTAAATTTGCAAGGTGCAGGAGAATTTTCGAGTGTGCGGAGATCGATGATCGGGCGTTTGCGGAAGCTATGAGTGATTTGGAGAAGGCAAATTGGGCTCAAATTGAAGACATCTTGAGGAAAAATGGGCTACAAAACTGATCGGGCTCAAACTGGGCCAATGATTAAGCTGTGGAGGCCCAAGACAAGAAGAAGCCAAAAACTCAACACTCTCACGCGGCCCGCGTGGATTACTGCAGGGGCATTTTCGGGATTTTGTTTGGAGCTTTATATTGGAAAGGTTGGTGTGCCACTTTAGCCTTATCTTGGACATCCGATTTTGGAGCATTTTCTCTAGATTTTGGAAGACTTTTGAAGGCCAAGAACACCCGAAGAACATCATCTTTTCACCTCTTGATTCTTGTTAACTGTTTGGTACAATTTTCTCTAACTTTGTTTCTTTGAGTTTAGCCATGCTTGGCTAAACAAAATATTGGTTGACTTTGGTGAAATCTTTTGACTAGTTGTTGAATGTTGAAGAATCCATAAACTTGTTCTTGAATCTTTATGGAATGTTTTGTGTTTTAACATATTATCACTACTTATATGTTTTTATTCATGAGTTTAAATGTGTTTGTGGTGATTAGTTGGCTAATTTCTTGATTAAGTAAAAGATCCTCAAATTAGCAAGCAACATATGATTTTTGTGTTAGTTTTGCTTCACACAATCATAAAAACTTTCCTCCAACATGGTAGTGAAAGCATTTGACTCCTTTTGGATTTGATGACTTTTTAGTTCTTAATGCTAGTTGACTTTCACTAATTACATGCTTAATGGAAATTATGACTTTGACTAAGGAAATTGTTATGAGTTTCTCTAACAAATTTTAACAACTAAGAAAAGTCTAGGTAATCTCAAGCTTCTTGGATTACTATAGCCAAATTAAAGGTTTAAAACAAGTATTGCACCATTGGATTCTAATGATATGTTCATCAAAAAGTCAAAATGAGGAAACCTTAAGTTAACCATCTTTCTCTTATTGATTTTACGTCAAACTCTTGTTTTTGTTGAAATTGTCTATTTAAATCTTAGTTTAATCCTAATTTATTTCAAGTATTTCAAAAGACCACCCCCCCTTCCATTTTTAATTTATTGTTATTTTTACAAGTATTTTTACAAAGAGATTTTCATAGAGTTATAAAATTGAACCAATCTCCATGGATATGATCCCTTTACCGCTATACACTATTCTAGTGTGCAAGATTTAGGGTTATTAATTTTGTTGGCCTCAACAACCACCACCACTGCCACAATTGTCGCCGTTACCATCACCTCCTATCATCACCACCACCACCACCACCACCGCCAACCCGCTACCGCCGCCGCCCCCACCCATATCCTACCACCGCTACTATTTTCTAAAAATGAAAACCGATAGAAAAATACACATCTAAACACGTTTTCTAATTTTCTAAAACTGAAAATGAAAAATGAAAAAGCTTTAACTAAACGTGTTTTCTAAATTTTCCAATGAAAAATGAAAACGGAAAACGAAAACTAAAAACAGAAAATGGAAACTATTTTTCCATAACTAAACGCAACCTTAAATTTGACTGAAAATCCATATGGACATCATGTCGGCACCACATGGGTAGATCTCTTGTGTTAACCAAAATACCAACCGGACAAACACGTTTATCATTTCCCATTTGAGAAAAAAAGACCTTTTTAGCATAATTTTTGACAGCTTAAGGACTTAGATTATAAAAAAAATGATGACAAGCATATTAAGGAAAAACCCAATAGTTGGTTAGGTCACAATGAAATTAACTATATATATATATATATATATATATATATATATATATATATACACACACACACACACACTAGTAAGCTACTCGCGCGATGCGGCGGCAGAAAATAATTTCATAACGATGATTTATTTCCTTTTGACGGGCTATTTTGCATTAAAAATAAAATTTTGTTGTTATTTTGGTTAAAAAGATAAAATGTATTGATTTTGAGTTTAATATAAACGTACATTGGTATTTGTTTAGAGTGGCAAATATATCAAGAAAAATCAACAAATGTGTATCATCTGAACCAATTAGGTTGGTAGCCAACATGTTTGGTTGACAGTACTATACCCAATTAATTAATAATAGTACAATAATGGTACATGGTTTACTGTATTACCGTACCAACCAATTCATTTTTTTTATATATAAAAGATTGCATATCTTAACTTTAAATGTATTTGAGGGTTAAGAGTTTCAATAGTTTTGATATTAACATTTGCCGTCGAGTAATGTTTAAAGTTTAAAATCATATTACATATCACCTTGACTCCATTGTTAAGTTTAAACTCATGGAACAAAATCATAAAATCTTTTTGGATCGAATTTCCAATCCAACCATTCATAAAACTCTTATTTACAAAACTCACATGTATATTTTAAGTGCACAATTACATATAAATCTTAATTCACAAAACACTCATACATGTTAGTATCTACCATTACCAACATGTACCAACTGAACTAGTAACCAATTAAGTTGGTATAACTATGCTTGGTACGGTAGCAAGTAATTAAAATGACATACCAATTATAATTGATACTCTACACGATTCTTAAAAAAGCATACCCGATAATGTATCAATTCCACCTATATATTTGTTGTTAAAAATAAAATTATATTAATATTTTTGATAAAAATAAAAGCAGGTTGGTGGGTTATAAAACAAATATGTTTTTTTTAAGTTAAAAATAAAAAAGGTTGATGGTTTAGTTAAACATAATGCTGTCGTAATTTTGTATGTTATGTAGATATAAGATTACTTTGACTTTATTTTGATAGTCTTTATCTTTTAAATTAATTATTAAATAAGCATATTTTTGTTTATACATATGGTGCCGACTGTTCTTGCTATGATGATAGCTCCTCCTCTCGATCGACTAATGAAGTATCTCAAACAGCAGAAATTGGTATGGAAGTGGGATTTCAGGTCAACAAGAACGACGAGCTTCTTGCAAAAGTGGTTGGAGAAATCGGTGACAAAACAGGTTTCCAATGAATTGTCTCTCTCTAAACGTACGAGGTATTGGGGAGGACGTCAAAGTCCAGTGGGTTAGGAGACTTCAAATAAAACACAAAATCAATTTCTTAGGCTCCAAGAAACTCAGCTAGCAGATGCTTCACGAGTGGATGCAAATGGATGTTGGGAGTCCTTAGAGATAGACTTTGACGGGGTGGATTCAAGTGGAAGGTCTGGGAGTATAATTTCCATATGGAACACAAACTATTTCACTAAGTCCAAGTCTATCAAATCAAAATCCTATCTAATTGTGGTTGGGAAATGGAAAGGACTACCAGGTAACACCATTTTTGCCAATATCTATGGTCCACAGTCGTTAGTAGAAAAAAAGACTCTTTGGAAAGAACTTTTGTCAATCCAACAAACATATGTCGGGAGATGGATTTACTTTGGCGATTTTAATGTCGTAAGGCGTAAGGAGGAGAGATACAACTCCGTTTTCTGTCCTTCAAGTGCCCGGTCTTTTAACAGATTTATCCATAGTGCTGGACTAATGGATTTTAGTATGTGTGGTGAAAAATATACCCACATGACTCGGGTCGGTGCCAAACTAAGTAAA